ATCATTCCACATCTAAGTCCAGAGTACCATATGCACTTCCTTCCCTTCGCATGCTTCACAGAATGCTGTGACAACCCAGCGCCCACGGTGCCTCACTCACATGGCTTCCTTTGCACTGGGCAATGTGCTAAGCACCCAAAACTGAAGCCCAGAGAGGTTATTCGCCTCCAACTAAGAGGAGGGAGCTGGGACTTTGAGCCCAGGCAGCCTGACATGAGTCCATTCTATACCTTAGTTCATTTTTTTTTTCTGAGTAAACTAGATTTAAGGAAGAATCACTTAACATGGTATTAACATTGTAGGTAACAGCATCAGGACAATTTGGAACTGACACTTATTTGTCTCTCAATTTTACAAGCACACATCAAAACTCTAAAGATGAGCTGCCTTCTGAAAGTCACTGTTGGTTAGAGGCCAGGGCTGACTGCATCGTAATCCCCAAGCTGGCATACCACATCACCTCTCTATGCAACCTCACAGAACTACCAATGAGATTGGATTATCACCAGGAATATTTCTGAACACAATGCCATGGAAATATTTGGCCCACATTTTATTTCTTTGAAAACCTTAGGATAGGTTTCCACCTGAAAACCATGAACTAGAACCTGGGAATAAAAAGCAAACAAGATATAAGCTCACAGCCCAGCAGGAGATAGACATGTCAACAAGATGATAGGTTGTCATGGGTACCACACAGAAATCTACATAAGGAACAGCAGGAGAATAATAAAAGATCTAGTCAAATCATCTCTGGTTGTGATATATGAACTTAACCTGTAATCCCAGTTTTATAATTAGCTGACTGTATAACCCAACGAATAGATACCTACTTCCCTCTCATCTCTAACATGAGGATGTATCTTTCAACCCTTTACAACTTGAAAATACAATCAAACTAGAAAATCTATTTTGATGAAAATGTTTTTAAAGACCATTTCTTTAAATCAAGGGGACATTTAAAGAGATGTCATTGTTAGAGATTAAAAGTAGGGTATATGTGGGTAACTAAATTATCATATTAAAATGCAGTATCAAATTCAAAAAAATTCTATGTACATACCACAACATTAACAGACAAATCAATTTATAACAGCTCAGAAGACTCTGGGGTTTGCGTTCTGGAGTTGAGTGGCACTCATGCACTACTGTACAGTTCTGCAAGTGGGTACATATGGTATATTCCACACTGGGGTTATTTGAACTGATTGCTGGACTCTCGAAAACCAAGCATTTGTAAGCTGCCCAAATGCTTGGTTTTATGAAATTTCCTTCTGAAACAGTGCAGGGGAAAGAACATGTGTTTTAGAATAAGACAGCTCTGAATCCATATTCAATGTGTAACCTTGAGCAAGCTGCTTAAACTCAGGAGATTTCAGTTTTTCCACCTGTAAAATGAGAACAGTTATCAGCTTGCTTCAGTGAATTGTTGTGAAGGTTTGAGATGAATGAAAGTCCCAACTGAAAACAATGCATGGCTGACGTTTAATAAATGAGTTCCTTTTTTACTGTCTTAAAAAAGGCAGCTAAACAGTACCCACACCTTAGCACTGTATTCCTCAATAATCCCTAAAAAACAAAAACAAACCTACTTTCAGAGCTTCAGGTATATAATTAGTTACTGTAAAAGCCTGTTTTTGATTAAATGAAAAAAGGACAAAATCATGTGAACACTAATTACTTAGATCTTTGCAAATCAGTTCTTATGTCTTATTAGCCTCTCCTAATGTCCTCTAATGATGTTCTACAGCAGTGGTTCTCAACCTTGGCTACACATTAGAATCACCTGGGAATCTTTTTAAAATCCTAATTTCTGGGCCTCATCCTCTAGAACTTCTGTTTCTTTGTTACTAATGTTGTGGCCCCACCCCATAACAAAGAAACAGAATTTCTGGAGGATGAAGCCCAGAAATCAGGATTTTAAGATTCCCAAGTGATTCTAATGTGCAGCCAAGGTTGAGAACCACTGTTCTAGAGAGAAGCTTAACAAAACCTAACCTTTCAGTTATACTAGTAAGAAGGGTTTTGCATATGTATAACCTTGCTCCTCACTAAAGCTGGAGATCTAATTCAAAGTAGGATATCTCTATATATAAAAGCCCAGTGACAGGAATGGTGGAACGACCAGAACAACTGGTGGCTATGACGCACACTGTGGCAGCCAACCAGCCTGGTCTGGGCCCCAATCGGCCCCCCACCCCCTTACTGGGGGGTGGGGCCAGCCAGCCAACCACCCCCGACCCCTCCCGCCCCACTGGCCAGGCCTGATGGACCCCCATCGGGGCAGGCTGGCAAGAGCCCACCCGTGCACAAATTCGGGCACCAGGCCTCTAGTTATTTAATAAAATCCAAACAAATTTATTAATTTTACAACTATAAATGATGTGGTTAATTATTTCAAGTATATCAGGAAGTTTTCTTTTTCTTGTTTTATTTATTTTTTAAATCCTTATCTGAGGATATTTTCCCATTGATTTTTGGAGACAATGGGAAAGGGAGAGAGAAATATCAATGTGAGAGAAACACATCAATTGGCTGCCTCCTGCACAAGCCCCAATGAGGACCCAGTTGGGAAGGAGCCTGCAACCGAGGTACATGCCCTTGACCAGCATTGAACCCAGGAGCCTTTGGCACGCAGGCCAATGCTCTATCCACTGAGCCAAACTGGCTAGGGCAGGAAGTGTTTTAAAATTAAACTAACATCTAATTTTGAAACTGAAATACTGAAAAATCAAGGGTGTAACCTATTAAAACCTTGGTGAGAGGATGCACAGTGCTGAGTTCATGATTAAAAAAAGAAAAATCACATTATTTAAATGCACTAAACAAGTAAATTTTCCTTCATATCAAGGGTATGGATATCATTGTATCACAAAAGATGAATGCTTTAAGAGCCTTGCATATTATATTACATTTATCTACTACTGTAGCTCCAAAGTAACTCATCATTAAATCAAAGTTTTGACATCACATTACCACCACTTACTTCTCCCAAACAGAGCCAAAATACAATTCCGGGCTGATGCATTGCAAATACACCTTTAAGACAGTGGCTTTACATATATATTTAAGATCTAAATTTGTCTTTTCCTATCAAAGTCACTATGATCTGAAGCTTATTTAAAATTAAAAACATCACTAAAATCAAGTCAAGGCTCCTTTCCTTGTGATTTGTTTTCCTCAGGTTTCTACCTGGGAGGTCCCATTTCCCTTCCCCACTCCAACGCATTAGAGGGCAGGAATAGTTAAAAGTCATTTGCTATTGATATCCATGAAATGAATGATGAAGCTATACAACCAAAGCAAGATCCACGCATGGTAAAAAATAAAACATGACAAATAATTTCTGAGGCACGAACTTGAACCTCAGAAAAGGATGAACTAGTATGTAAGGCAAATTACTTAGGGGTTAGAAGGGGTGGCACCTGGCAGTCAGAGTGGTTTTGCCACTCTCTCAGCATTACCAGGTTGTTGATAAAATTCTCTAGAGGTCATTTAAATTCTGTAATCACACCTCACTGCATTATGTTCTAGTAGTTTCACAAACTTGGGGCGCTCACAAGAAATATCTGGGAATACATTCCTTGAGAAGTTGGAAGGGCCTCCTTATTACATTTAGCAAAAAAAAACCATGCAGTCTCTTAGAGTTCATAGAGCTTTTTCAAAATAAACTGATTTTTCAGCCCAATTAAAAACTCAAACACTTTATATTACAGGTATAGAAGTTTATAGTGCAGCAATGCCAACACAAATAATTTGACACCTTCACCCCTACTTGCAATGTGATTAATAACTATGCAATGACTTCTATTTTGTCATTGACTTTGGCTCCGATGTTTAAATACTTAAACAACTTGGAAAGATTTTGTGTGTGTGTTTTGTCTCTTTTCATTGTTTTGTGTGGGCATGGGTACAGGTGGGGAGTGGTCAGTTCATTATAATGAAGACAATCAGGAATTGAACAGCCACTAAAATTTCACATACCATTTCCTTACAAAATATACATGGAAGAGTATGGTTTAAAGATAGAGGGGAAAAGCCTCTTATTTGTTCCTTCTATTATACTTTACCCTTTATCTAGTCTAACAATGATGCCAAACTTAATAGCTAGGGCAAGAGTAACTCTCTAAGTGAATTTTATGAAGTCCAATTTAATTTTGGTTTTTAGATACTGAGTGCTTAAAAGTTTGGAATTCTTCAGATGAACTAAAAAAAAAAGGTTATATCAACAACCAAAATACCAAAAAGATAAGATAAAAAACAACTGATTAACCATCTAAAAAATACCCAACTAAATGTTCTTAAACAAATTAGAATTAGTTGGAATATATCTCTGCCCTTATAAATTGGCCTTCTGCTTGGTCTGTAGTTAAGGCAACTTTTCTTAAGTAAAATACTTCTACTAAGGAGAAACAAATGATCTCTTCAAAAAAGAACTAAGTAGGTCTACAATCATTCCAGAGCAATCCCTTGGGTAAGAAATAGAATAATGGTCAACACAACAACTGTTTCCACAAGCGCACCATTTTCTTTTTGATAAAGAAAGAGTGGGGTGGATTTTATACCAAAATCAACAGAATTTTCATGTTTCATGATTTTGTTGCTAGAGATCCCTTGAACTCATTTGGGAAGTGTTCTGAAGGTGCATATTATAGTAAACAGAAGCAAAGTACCAAAACAACTCTATTGCTAAAAAGCAGCTGCTCCTGCTTGTACCTTTAGAATACTAGTTGTAAAACAGCAACGATAACAACCAAATGCTAATTTGTTCTATCAATTGGGACTCTACAGAGGAAAAAAACTGTTTTCTTTAAACAGTCCAACGTAGGACATCTATAATCATCTTGGATAAATAAGGACTTTGGGGAGAAAATGTCAACAAGAAAGGCAATTAACATATTCAGTATTCTAAAGGCATGCTTCAGGGAGTTCAACGATGATTCTGGTAAGACCAATTGCTCACATACACACACACACACACACACACACACACACACACACACACACACACACACACACACAGATTTTAATGGTTTAAAAAAACAAATTTGTTACTTTAGAAAAATGAATGCAGTGCACGTTCAAAAATATTATCGCCACAGACTCTGATTGCTCAGTCCACACACAAGTAGTAGTTGCCTTCTATGATGATATGGCTTCTCTGCACTAATTCCCATCAGGCCGAAAAACATTAGGGCAGGTTAAGTAAAGACTGAATTGTTGCACAAAGGAACATTTACTCATCAGATCCCACTGATCTCTTCTGTGCCCGCTTCCTGGGCAACCTTCTTGGTGAAGCTTTATCTGCAAGAAAAGAGAAAGTTTGAATTTGCCTATTATAGATACGCTAGATTCAAAATACATTTTAAAAAAGCATTTCCCTTCAACTTTACAATTAAGCTCAAAAAATAAACATACATGCAAAAATATGCCATCGAATAATAAATGCCTCTTATTTAGTTTAGGTATTTTAACTAACCTTCCAAATAATCAATCCTTCAAGAGGTAACTGAATTAAAACAAAAACTTTTGCAATTAGGGTGGGAAAAGATACAATCTTAGTTACTGTAACATAGGAGCCACCATGCAAAATCTTCTTGAATTCTACAACTTAACATGATTATGCATGCATAAGTAACACTTGGGAAATAGTGTAAAATGTATGAAGTTCGCAGCTCAAAAATATTTATAGTGGTTACAAAATTAAAGACAGTATTTACAAATGCAGCCATGCAGTTGGCATAATGTTGACACTTTCATAGAATTACCTAGAATAAGCAGTAGGAAATTAGATAGTATATCAATACTAAGACCATCCTACACACATAAACATTATGCTTTTACTTTTTTCTCTTTATATCTTATGTTAAGAGTCTTAGTGGGGACTATCAAACAAAAAAAATACATTGATAGTGAGTTTCTTCTACTTTCAGTAAGAGTCATCTTTAAGTTTCTTTAAAAAAGGAAGGGCTGAATTCTCTCTGACTATTGTGGCTTCTTCTTATTTTGTAGGAGCACTTTTCAAATTAGGAAGATAAGCTCTCTTTGTGACATAAGTAATTATTTTTCCAGTTTTTTTAAAAAAATGAAGGGCTGGAAAAAGATGATTCACCAAAGTATGGGGTTCATTTGAAAGCATTTCATGAACAATGGTATGAAAAATATGTGCCTAAAAGATTTTAATTTTTATTTTCCAAAATTACTAGACCATGCCTATATTTTTAAAATACATAATAGTTTTCTTAAGCATATTTAGAAACTAAAAATTCTTTTAAATAATCTGTTTAAGAGTTAATGATTCAAATATTAAGACTAAGTCTACATGTCACATGAAAACCCACCTTTATTACATAAGTTAGTAATGTTATTTAAGGGGTTCAACTTATGTAAAACTGAGCATAGAAGCATTTTTCTGATGAAGATAGCCTACAACTTTCATCAGATTTTCAAAAAGGTTAGCCTAAAACCTACTGCCTTTACACAGTTGACCAATTTCCAAATAATTAAAAAATTAAACAATATGCTGAATATAATTTTTGAGGATTCAAAAAGCACTTTAGAATCTAATAGCCATCTGTGTGAATATTGCTGTTACTAAGCAGATGTGAAGTGGTGATCACTGACTTCCAACAATTTCAAACACCTGCAGCAGGTTTTTAAATACGGGAATGCATAGAATAAGCCTTCATCACCTGCCTGTGTAGTTCATCAAAGTTAGGAAGCAGACCAATGAGAAACAGAGTAAGAGCACTCTGGAGTCACTGAGTGTTTGGGAAAATGGCTCCTAATATCTCAATAACTCAGAGAGCGTCATTTTACTTCAGCAAAGAACACTGTGTATAATGATGCTTTTCAGCCCAACCCCCCACTTACCATCGTCACCCAAACCCTTAAAAAAACCTAGAAATTAACTGTAGTAAAATCATATCTCCCTGCAATTTTTTTCATTTTTAGATGACAAAGGCAAAATTTTAGTGAAACTTATTAACAAATCAAGAAAAAACTTATTAGCAATGACACCAAACTACCCTTCCTTCGTTTACATTCTCATGAGTGAGATAGATGAGTAAAAGCTCCTGCCAAGTTAAATATTGGCCTCTTATGTCCTACTCTTTATACCACCCCTCTCTCTAAAAGTAATTCCTCAAAGCTTGAGGCACCTTCCAGACAGGCCTCCTGCTCCATGACCTTCAAAATCTCTTGTTTTTTTCCATTCAATCCTCAAATATGCAAAGTACATGTCCTATTTTCAGAAGAAATGACTATTTTACCTTGGCCAGTGTGGCTCAGTTGGTTGAGGGTCCTCCCATGTACCAAAAGGTCTCAGGTTCAATTTTGGGTCAAGGCACATTGCTGGGGCTTGATTCCCAGTAGCGGGTATGCAGGAGGCAGCCAATCAATGTCTCCCCCTCATCGATGTTCAACTCCTTTACTCTAAGAAAACCATGTTCTAGGAAGTGGTTCTCAAAATGTGGTCTGGACCAGCAGCCTCAAAATCACCTAAGAACTTAGATATGCAAATTCTTAGGTGTTACCTAAGACCTACTCAATTGGAAACTCTAGGGGTGGGGCTCAGCAAAGCTTAACAAGCAGTCTAGGTGATTCTGATGAATGTGCAGTTTAAGAACTACTGCTGTAAGGAATCAGGTATAATAGAAAAAAAACAAGCATATAAAATTAAATAAAAATACTGTTATAGTTGAATTTAAAATATCAATATAAATTTGATTTGAAAAATATGTATTTTCTATCTCAGTTCAAAGAATGGGTCTAGAAACAATGTCACCCAGTATGAATGCTATTTCTAGTATCATCTTGGGGTCCTTGGAGAAACAGAATCATGACTAGCTCCATGTTTAGAGCAGAGAAGGTACAAAAGTTCAGATTATCTTGTTGAGCTGGCTAGTAAGGGATCATTCAAAGATCAAAAGGCTAAGGATAGAGGCAATTCAAAAAGGCACCCAGAAGCCAAAACTAACAATTTGAGCATCAAAAAGAATATAGCTGTCCTGGCCGGTGTCTCAGTGGTTAGAGCGCCAGCCTGCGAACCAAAGGGTCTTGGGTTCCTTCCCAGTCAAGGGCACATACCTTGGTTGCAGGTTCCAGGGCGGGTGGGGGAGGCAACCAATTTGTGTGTCTCTCTCATGTCGATGTTTCCCTCTCAAGTCCATGTCTCTCTCTTTCTCCCCCCGCCCCCCTCTCTTTTTATTTATTTATTTATTATTATTTTTTTTAAATATATTTTATTGAAACATCGATCAGCCGCCTCCTGCACATCCCCCACTGGGGAAGCGCGCGCAACCCAGGTACATGCCCTTGACCGGAACCGAACCTGGGACCCTTCAGTCCCCAGGCCGACGCTCTATCCACTGAGCCAAACCGGTTCCGGCTCTTTTTAGAAATCAATGGAAAAAATATCCTTGGGTCAGGATTTAAAAAAAGAATATAGTTAACACAGCAATTTTATGAAAATCCAAATTTGGAGATGATAAAAAACAAAGGAGAAAATTAGAAAAAAACTCACTTGTCATCATTTAGGTGCCTCTTTGAAAATTAGATAATAAAGGGAAGAATTTAATTTAGCATTTATCCTTTTTCAATAGGAACTGTGTTTTAGGGTAAACAAATAGTTTTAGTTGATTAGGGAAAGCTCTATGTACTTTAAAAAAGCATGACTGTAAGTAAAAAGTCAAAGAAATTTCAATTGAAAATTATCAACACCTCTGGCACATTGATTCATGAGAGGATCATCAACTGGTGAATGTTTAGAGAATTGGAAATCTGTGTGATGCCAAAGTGACACCCACAATAACTTCTAGGGCAGAAACACCTCACCTTCACCCTAATTTAGTGCTCAAGTTATCATCACTAATGATGGCACATGCTACTTGATGTGATGCAGAAGTACTCAAGAGTTATGATGTATGCCAATGATTTTCAACTGGAGTGATGCAAGAATTTTTAAAACATGCAATACCTGACTATTTAGTCAGGGGACCAAAGGGTCCCCTTAGTCTGTCAAATAAAAAAATGACAACAGCCAACACAAAAATTGACACCCAGTGTGAACGAATCAAAATTATACCTATGTATTCTGTCAGATTAGCAAAATAGTATTTTTTGGTATATTGCAGAAGTTTAGTAATTAATTAGTTCATGTGTGTCATAGATGAAAAAGGTGAAAATCACTGAAGTATGCTATTAGCCAGAAAGATCAACTTAAGTCTAACCAAGCCTATAGATTTATCTTCTGGATTAAATAAAGTTTAGCTAAAGACACTAGGAAAAAAACAATCTGGCAAATCTGGAGGGTAAGCCTTTTTAGAGCCTTATTCCTCAATGAATGTGATCAATGGGTCACCTGGGAGCTTGTTAGAAATGCCAATACTTCAGCCTCACCCTAGAGCAGCTGAATCCAAACCTGATCATAACAAGATTTTCAAATGATCTGTATGCAATCAATGTTTGAGAAGTCTTTTCCTACAAGGCAAGTGGTCAATCTCTTGAACTGCTGTAAATTAAAAGGGACTCAAGGAATATAACAACCAGATACAATGTATCATCCTATATTGAAAAAAAAGTTATAAAGGATATTTTGAGACAATTTGAGAAGTTTCCATATGGACAGGTTATTGCATTTAATTAACAAAATAAATTTTTAAGTAGGACAGTGTTTCTGACAGAAAAGTATTTCTTTGCAAAATGAAATATTTTAGAGGTACTGTGTATTGGACAGAAAAGGGGCTCTGTAATAAATCTAACACCAAGCAACCTTACAGGATGATCTGATTATAAATTTCTAACTGGGAAGGTCCCGCCTCAGGCCTATAACTTCCCTAGCAAAAGGTTATCTTTGCCTTAAGCAAGCCCTGTCCATTGTTTTTCTTTGGTGCACCTTTGAAATGCCCCTTTTTCAGACTCCTCAGGAGTGTAACCACTCTCAAAAGAGCACATACTCCTGTTAACTAACCTGTAATCAAATCATAGAGATTTCCCTGCCTTGCTCTCTCCCATGTTCAAATATTCTTCCTTATGGTCCCTCCTTAATTTGAAATGTATAAGAGAAACTGAAAACTGTATATTCTGGCAGCACTTAGATCTTCCTTCCTGGCATATTGTCCAGTTTGGCTCAAACTCTTAAAAAAAATTACCTACAGGTTTGGATGTTTCTTAAATCAACACTAGAGGCCCGATGCACGAAATTTGTGCATGGGTAGGGTCCCTTGGCCTGGCCAGCGATCAGGGCCTTCCTTCCCCAGCTGTTTCCTTCATTCCGCGCCGCCCCCTGGTGGTCAGTGCACGTCATAGCGAGCAATCAAACTCCCGAGGGGACACTTTGCATATTAGCCTTTTATATATATAGAAGATAGAAAGAAAATGTCACCATATCTCTAATTTCAAAGTATGTTATATTGAGAATTTCATGGGCTCTTTACAGTCAACAGATCTAATCCTAACTCCTCTCTCCTCATGCATTAGTGTTCCTCTTCCTATATTCCCTAACATTATAGGATCATCTTCCACCTAGCTGCCTAAGCTCAGAGTCCTCTTTCACTCCTCCCTTAGACATCCAAACAGTCAGCAAAAGCCAGGTCTGCTCCACTTCTGAAATATCTTTCTACTCACTTTTACTAACACTAACTACCTTAGCTTAGGCCCTATTGATTTCTTACTTAAAAAAAAAAATCATCTTCTAATAGCTTCTGCTTGCTAGCCATCCTGCATAAAACTATCATTTTCTTTTAAAACAAGTTTTTTATTTCTCAGCTTTAAAGTATCTGATGGCTACCTTTTACCTAGAAGGAAAAGTCAAAAGTCCTTAGCATAGCACATAAAACCTTGAAGACGTCTTCTCACCCAACTTTTCAAAACTCTGGTCAAATGTCAACTCCTTCTGTGAATGATTTTCCCACTCTCCTACAGGAGGAGGGTCCTCCTGTGCTCCTATTACTTCATACCCACTTTTAGTAAAGTAATTATGTTTCAATAGAGAGCTCACTGAATAATATGGAAATGATAGGGAAAACAATTCAATTTGTAAATAAATTTGTAAATAAAACAATCTATAAACCAAGAAAAGACTTGAACAGTCAATTCACAGGAAAAGAAATACTGAATGGTAAGTAAATATGTATAAAGAAGCTAAACCTCATTCTTAATTGTAATAAAAAAGATACCGTTTTTACCACTGACAGATTAAAACATTGATAATAATACTTGAGAATGGTAAGTGAGGAGAAGCACACAATATAGTAAAATGGCGAGAATATAAATTGATGTCATGTTTTGGTAAGGAAGTGAGACATGTTCCTTAAAAATTAAAATGCACATAATTTTAGACCTAACTATTGTACTTTTAAGAAATTATCCCTTGTGGGAAGTGGGAGAAATGGGTGAAGGGGGTCAAAAAGTACAACCTTCCAGCCCAGCCAGCATAGCTCAGTGGTTGAACATCGACCTATGAACCAGGAGGTCACAGTTCAATTCCCGGTCAGGGAACATGCCCCAGTTGCAGGCGGATCCTTTGTAGGGGGGCATGCAGGAATCAGCCGATCAATGATTCTCTCATATCCCTCTCTCTTCCTCTCCCTTCCTCTCTGAAATAAGTAAAAATATATATATTTTTTAAAGAAGAACAACCTTCCAGTTATAATGTAAGTCCTGGGATATAATGTATATCATGGTGACTATAGTTGACAATACTGTACTGTATATTTGAAACTTGCTAAGAGAATAGATCTTAATAGTTCTCATGACAAGAAAAGTATTTGTAACTTATGTGTAGTGATGGGTGTTAACTAGACTTACTGTAACAATTATTTTGCAATACACATAGAATTTTTAAAAATCATCAAGTTTGGCTCAAACGCTTAAAAAAATTATCTACAGGTTTGGGTGTGCATAAACTTAAGAATCTTCATTACAGCTTTTTAAAAAAATACATGCTTACATATGAGCACTTAGTATTATTTGATAATTTTGCTTCACTCACCTTTATTAATACTACCACTTTAGATAGCATAGTGCCTTTAATTGCACACTCATTTGAATCCTGGCTCCACCTCTTATCAGCTATATGGCAAGCTTCCTCATTACAGATTTAATTTTAAGATTGAAAAACTCAGAATAACAAACATCCTTCAATACAGAATAGGTTTAATCTGTGGTGACACATTCATATAAAATACTATCTAGTTATTAAAAAAATGAGGTAAATATGTTAGTAACTATCACAAAAAAATACCAAAAGCATGAAAACTCAGATTGTATAACAGTGTGTGCAATATAATTCCATTTGTACAAAACCAACAGAGTCAATATACATATATGCTGATATATGCATAGAAAATACTTAGAATAACATATAAGTACCAATTACTTATGAAAAATGGGGTCAATGGGTCCAGGTGATATCAGCTTTTCACTTCTGTACTATTTATTTTTTATGAGGCCCTATTACTGTTTTTAAAAACATATTTTTATTGATTTTATTGATATTTTTACATGTGTTTTTATTGAGAGAAAGAGAGGGGAGAGAGATAGATACATCAATGATGAGAGAGAATCATTGATCGGTTACCTCCTTACATGCCCCACATTGGGGATTGAGCCCACAACCTGGACATGTGTCCTGACAGGGAATCGAACTGTAACCTCCTGATTCATAGTTAACCACTGAGCCATGCCTGCCAGGCCCTATTACTTCTACATTCTTTTATAAAAATATTAATATTCTAAATAACTGCATATGTAGTGATAAAACTGAAATATATCTGTTAGGAAAACAACCATGTGGTATTTTAGTTTTATTTTTTCAAACTATTCTGGGTAGTTAGTAGTTAGCAGTTCTTCCAACAAATTTAGTGCTAAGAAACTTTCATTACTCTTTAAGCTTATTGCAAAGTAGACCCCCAAATACATAGCAAACACCATTAAAAAATAATTCACCTCACCTCTTCTACTTTGCACTGAAGCGACAGGAAAGAAAAGAGACAGGAAAAAGATTAGAAATATAGAGAATTACACATTTGTGTATAAACTGCAGATTTGGAAGCATTTCTAAATTAAGAACTACATAGAATAAAATTTTAAAGCACTCATTAAACATATACTAAATTCTCTACAAGTATTGAAAAAGATGAGTGTTAAATAGCACTGACCAAGCACTTGTGCTAAATCTAAAATATTTAATTTCCATTTAAGAGAAAAAGTTCCCAGCCAAGTTAATAAGAGTACTTACTGATCTGATTCAAAGTTTCCTGAGGAATCCAACTCATGTCAACATCATTCTGACTTGTTGTACCCATCTCTACTTTCTGTACAGGTCTCTTGCGCTAAGAGAACATAAAAACAGTACTTTAAAGGGGTTTCATTATAATGTTTACTGTAACTTTAAAAAGAGACCTATCAAGCTACTTAAGTATCTTAATTTAAGATATTTAAGAAATTATGTCCTCTTCTAGTTTTAAAACATACTCCTACTCAAGTTTTTATTAATCAGAGGGGGAAAATCATGTCTAGCACCAATTATAAAGAATAATAAAGGAATAAATCTTCAAACAATGATTTATTTTCAGGCTTTAAAGATATTTTCCTATGCTATAAAGCTTCGTGTGTTATCAAGACTTTCTAAGTATACAACAATTCTTTCCCTTTGAGTATCAAATGTTAAAGAATAAATTTATTTCTAAATTTGACAAAATTCAGGATAAATCACTGAAAGGTTGCATGCAGGCAAGTTCCTGCATTGTTAGTTAAACACACTTAAAACAGTTGGCATAGATAAAACAAAACAAAACATAAAATCTCATTTAACAACCAAAAACTTTGTCCCTAGAGTTTTTGCAGCAAAACTGCTAGATTACTTCAATTCTATTTAGCCCTGCTCTTATAAATACCCCCCAAAACCATATTTACTTAAAAGAACATTAAATATACAGCCTAAAAATTAGATTTTGAATACACAGAAAGGTAACCACAGCCAATTAAAAAAAATGGCTTCATTGAAATGGGAAAAATTAGAGATGCCATTATATCTAATATACGTATTTCTATCAAAAACTCTATTATGAAAATGAGGCAAAGAAAGTTATGGAAATTAACATTTAAGCACTAAGTACTTCTCTTTTAAAGAACAAGTGTTTATTAGTAACACTTATTGCTAATCGCTATATATAAAACCTTAACATGCAAATAGACTGAATGGAGGAACAACCAAACTGGTCGCTATGATGTGCGATCACCAGGGGGCGCACATGGAACATGGCGGGCGTTGGCAGCAGGTGGCAGAGCATGGAACATGGTGGGCATTGGCCACGGCGGGATGGTGGAGCAGGTGAGCGGGGGCGCCAGCCAGTTGCTGTCATCAGGGCGAGCCTCTGGTGGCTACTGAAAATTCTTTGTTCCTGCATGTCCTGGTCCAGCTCAGGACTCACACCTGCTGCCAGTGCTGGAGCTGCCACTCACACCCACTGCCAGCCCTGATTGCCTGAGGGCTTCTCCACCTCCCCCTGCTCCTGAGGTGTGATCGGGGCAGCAGCTGCTGCTCACACCTGCTGATGGCACCGGCCCCAATTGCTCTGTGCTGTCAGCGCGAGTGGTGGCAGCAGGAGTGGCACGATGGGAGGGGCCGGGCGGGGGTATGGAGGATGGATCAAGACCTGCCCCTGTGCCCACTGTAGCCTCGTGACCCACAGTTCCTTTCAAGGTGCACAAATTCATACACTGGGACCCTAGTTTTAATATAAGGGTCTAGTGCAGGGGTGGGCAAACTTTTTGACTCGAGGGCCACAATGGGTTCTTAAACTGGACCGGAGGGCCGGAACAAATGCATGGATGGAGTGTTTGTGTGAACTAATATAAATTCAAAGTAAACATCATTACATAAAAGGGTACGGTCTTTTTTTTTTTAGTTTTATTCATTTTAAACGGGCCGGATCCGGCCCGCGGGCCGTAGTTTGCCCACGGCTGGTCTAGTGGATAGTAACATATTTGACACAAATCATGTTACACTTTCTCATGAGAGAAATATGAGTTGTTTTGCAGGGTCAGAGAGCAAAGTGAGATGAGGGCAATGGTGGAATTAGCTACCATGGTAGAGAGAGAAACCACGATTACAGTAGGTGCTCAGTGTCACCACTTTACTACCCAAACAAGAAAACAGAAGTTAGATAGAACAAATACCATCCAATTCATTATTTTTCAAATGAAAAGATACATTTAATTACTAATTAGGAATTATCCTTACAGTTAAGAGTACTGAAGAAAATATAAAAGTTTCCATGCTTATAGGTAAAATAACATATTCTTGAAAAAGTGTAGTGAACAGAAAAATGAAAGTTTATGTCTGAGTGTAAGAAACAAGTGGCCCTAGCTGGTTTGGCTCAATGGATAGAGTGTCAGCCTGTGGGCTGTAGGGTCCTGGATTTGATTGCAGTCAAGAGCACATGCCCAGGTTGCGGGCTCGATCCCCAGTTGGGGATGTGCAGGAAGCAGCCAATCAATGATTCTCTCTCATCATTGATGTTTCTATCTCCCTCCCTCCCTCTACTTTCCTCTCTGGAATCAATAAAAATATATTTACAAAAATAAAGCATTAAAAACAAAAGAAACAAGCATTCTAGTATAATTTAGAGTTACAATAAGAAGGTAAAGATAACTCTGGAGGGTATAGAAAAGTCTAAACAAATCCAAGTCACATACCCAAGGTCTCACCTTTAGGTTTTATTTTAAAAGGTACAACAAACCAACCAACCAACCAACAAACAAACATATAAATAAGTAAATAATTAAATAAAGTAAAAGGCACAAAAAACCTGTAAATATACAAATTCATAGTGAAAGCAAGAAGTCACTGGATTGAACTTAAGTTAGTACTGTAACAACTTCTGAAGTATGGCTATAAGATTCGTTCACCTATAATTACCTTTCTAGATTCCAGGAGTTGATGAAGGCCAATAACAACCAAGAGCCCAAGACCAGCAAGGAACATATACATAAAGATTCTAATATAAAAGGAAAAAATATAAACTGGCTTAATTCATAGGAACTATCACAGCTTATTAAAACTATAATTCTTGTTTAACTTAAAAAATATCATAGCTAATTATATCTACAGGGTGTGGCAAAAGTAGGTTTGCAGTTGTGAGTAGATGCATTATAATTTATTAATCATTGTACTATTTTACATACGAACTGTAAGCCTACTTTTGCCCCACTGTGTATAATGTTAACACTAGATAAGCTTTCCAAATAACCTGTTGGTAAAAGAAATAAAATAATTCAATTTAGACCCAGGTAATAAGTCTTATAAATTTTTTATTTATTTCTAAGAATTTAAAAAAGCAATTATATGATCCCAAATTAGTAAAATTGCTTTATAATAGTATTAAGTTTGTCTCCCTCAAATATTAGATCATTTTGCAGTTTGATTTAAAAGTTACTTTTGGTGAATTTCATCTAACTATACAGTAAGAAATAACTCATCATTTACAAAGAACACATTTTTTAAGATAGAAATCTTATGATTTACATTTTCAATAGCAATTTTAGAGGCATGCAACTTAGATTAGACTGGTGATCAGTTTAAGAGCATGGGGTGCAAAAGATTTTAGAAGAGGGGAAGGATGGAAAGCTAAAGCTATCTTTTTAAAACAAATTTTTGTCAATTTCAACTATCTTTCCTAACTTGGTATGAATAGCTATAAGAACCATCTAAAGTATAAATTTACATAGTTAGGATTACACCAAATCTACAGTCCATTTCATTTCCATCATTTAAGAAAAATAGGTTAATAGGCGCAAACCTTCCAGCCCTACAAGATCAACATCTACAAATTTCAACTTTCACTTACGTTTCTCCATCTAAGCCATCCTCTCTTTCAATAATTGTAACTGTTTGATTGAAGACAGCATCTTGAAATACATTGCCCTGTTTACAAAAAAAAGAAAGAAAAGTTCCCCCAAACTGAAATGCATTGAAAAAAGGAAAGCCTATAAGAATTCTTAAAACCATTACTCTAAGAGATATATGATAGCTTTCTTATCCTTAGAAGACAAGACTCAGTGATACCTAGTGGCATTAACTCGGTGTCAGGGATTCAACATTATGATGTTTGTTATTTTCTCCTATGAAATAAAAAATGCTTCCAATTTCACTAAAGTTGTCCCCCACTTTCTTTTGGGTTGGGGGAAAAGGAAGTTGAGGAATCAGGGAAGTAAAACAAAAACAAGATAAAATGTGCAGAAAGAAACAAATCCCACAGAACACTCGTAAGAAAAGCCCTACGTTCTGTTGGTGTAACCTTCCAAAACAAGAGAGAGAGAGCTGAACATTTATAGAATAGCAGATCATTTTAGGAACTAGAACTAGACTTGAGCTCGGGCTGGTGTTGCTACATGGTTAGTATCAGCTCACACACCAAAGGATTTTGGGTTCAATTCCCGGTCAAGGGCACATACCTGGGTTGCAGGTTCGATCCCCAGCCCCAGTCAGGGTACATTCGGGAAGCAACCAATCAATGTGTCTCTCTCATATTGATTTTCTCTCTTTTCCCTTTGCTCCCTCCCCTGAACTCTTTCTAAAAATCAATGGAAAAACTATCCTCAGATTAAGATTACCAGAACAAAAAAATTAGGCTTGAACAAGTCAAATTCATGTTCTAAATTAATAATGGGTTGGAAATAAATTTATAATAAATGGGTGCTTTTTATTATCAAAATATTTTTCTGTTGTGATCTTGAAACAATTTTGTTAGTTCAACACAATTTTAGTTTTCAAATACATCAAAATCACTGGAATAACACATAGTTAGCTGTTTTCAGTGTTTGATTCTTTGTACAAAGGTAGTACTTAAAAAGTTACCTATTGCTAAACTGTAATTATAAAAGTTTTACTTCAAAATCTTGCAATTGGCATTCTTCTGTTGACAATTCCAAGAATCAGAATACTGATGAAACTAGTATTTAAAATGGAACTGAAACTACATATATCCTGATAGATTAAGTTTTCTGTTTGAAATATGTAATTCTTCAAGTCACTTAACTATAAAGTTGAGAAAGCGTAATATGTTATTTTGAAGGAAAAATGAAAAACCTTCTACTCTCTACTAAGAAATTTTTTAAAAAGAAAAACTTAATTGCAGCACCAGAAATTTAACTAAGATATAAGGAAAACATGTGGACACTACAATAATGAAAGGTTGACTAAGCTTCCAAAAAGGATAAAATTTCCTTCACTGAAAAGTTTTTGAAAAGGAAATGGGTTTAGATGTGCTCTTATCTGAAGGTGGACATAATAGTTGGGATCCAGAGGTGAGCTCCCAGTAGCAAAATTGTGCTAGGTTTCTCTTATTCATTCATTGGATATATACCACAACATATTAAAAACCAGAAGACAGCAGAGCTTCCTTAGGCTACTTGGATCTCATAAACCATAAACCTTACTGCTAAACCTATATTAAAAATAGCAGACTCCACTGTGGCTAATTTTCCTTTTAAGATCCAGCTCAAGCCACTTTCACTTTAATACTCTGGCACCTCACACTTATCTCTAGAATGTATCACTTATCATGCTGTGATATAGCCTGCTTACATTCATCTCCCCCAGTGGATTATAGACTTAAAGACAGAGACATCCAATTTATCTTTGCCTCGTTGGAGTTTTAACCACAAAACAGGCACGTGAATGAGTAAACACAGAATATTCAAATGTCAATTGTCCTCACCCATCTCTAACTAAAAAAAAGTTTAGAGGGCCTTACGTTCAAATCTTTGTAGTTCAGATTGATGACTAGACCAAAGGGTCGTCCGCCCATCGGCTCTGCAGGAATGAAGGAGTACTCAAAAGTTGCCTGTCTCTGGGGTGGGACTACGGTGTTCAAAGGAAGAGCTGTGAAATTCTGGATATAAAACTGGTAGTCCTGTGGGTAACGGAATGAGGCATCTAGGGATTCAACAATAAAATCTTCTGTGCCCTTGTTTGTAAAGCCTACTAGGAATTTCACAATGTTATTTGCTGGAAAATCTGAAAAAAAAGAAAGAAAGAAAGGAAGGAAGGAAGGAAGGAAGAAAAAAGAGAGACAAGATTAGTACATGTTCAAAGGGCATAAAATAAAAAGTATGACATTACTCATGGATTTGGGACTCTTTCACAATACATGTAGACTTGGTTTCAGAATCTCTTTCAATGGAGCATTCAGTCATCCACTAACTAGTAACTGGTATATAAACTGAAACCCTTGTCTATACTCTAGCATTCCAACTTAAGAGCTGAACTGAGTACCTCAATTTCAGACCAGATCACATCCAAAGTATGTGGTCTAAGAAAGAGTCATGTACTTTTAGTAAGATTATCTTGCAGTGTGACTATCTGTCTTTTTGAAGTCACCTCCCACCTCCCAACTCAGTATCTGTTATCTAAGCAAATAATGGAAAGAAGAATGACAGATAATAAATCGGGGAGGGAGGGAATCTCTTAATCAAATTAAACTTTTTGTAGGCATAAAGTTGGAACATACGTAGGAATAAAATAGAAAACTTGAGAAGACCAAAAAAATTAGTAACTTCAAAATAACGCTTCAATAATTAAACTGTAGTCTGCAGAGCTGAGTTTCACTCAGTACAGCACAGGCTTTGGGGTCAGACTGATCTGGGTCTAAAACCCTGTCTCCACACTCTATTTACTAACTGGGTAACACTGGACAAATTGTTAACCTCTCTAAATCTCGGTTTAGCAATAGTAACTAACCTCAGAGGATTTCTGTAAGGATTTAATAATACATGAAAACCATTGAGAACAATGCTTGCCATAGCCTTCATTAAATATAAGCCATTATTTACTTTTTTAAAATGTAATCTAGGCTCCAACCAAGGCCTAATTGTAAAGATTTAACATTTCACTAATGTTTCCACTCCAAATACAAGTTACTTTACTGTGGCAGTTTAAAACAGTTTCTTTTGAAAGAACATTTAATTTCTAGTTAAAATGGATAGTTTTTCTTTTCCTCCTTAATTTAAATGCCAGGAATAGTACCTTACAGACATGGGTATTCATACATATATATGAGGTATTTTTCCAAAATGTATATTTAAACTTGCAAGAAAGGAAGATGCATCTTAAGCATTAATAACACTTTCCCAAAAAGTGACCTTATTATCTTAAAAATTTCTACAGCTGAGTCAAAACTAGTATTTCTCTATTACCTTCTCCTTTCACAAATAGGATAGTTGTATCTGCACTTGGTGAAGCTTCAGGTTCACCAGATACATCTTCTTCCTCTTTATCTTCTGCCTAAGAAAAACAATATTAAAAAGGGATTACTACGGGGGAAAATACCACCATATAAAAATGACTTCACTAAGATTTGGGACAAAATATTGCCTCTCCATGGCTTTGTTGGGATTAGCAGTGGTATGAATGTCATTGTATCTCATCAGTCAAAATAAAAAATTCTAGACAGTGTATCTTGAACAGAAATGTGCATACCAAATCCCCTGGGATTTTGCAGATCTGATTCAGATCTCAAGTGAAGCTTAAAATTCTATTTCTAACAAGCACTCAGGAAATGCTGATATTGCTGGTACTCAAACCACACTTTGAATTGCAAGGTTCTGGAGTGTGGGCTGGTATACTTTTTCGGTAAAGGACCAGGTATCAATATTTTTGGCTTTGAAAATTATAAGGTCCTTATTGCAACTACTCAACTCTGTGGCTGCTTTCTATGTGGCTACCTTTTAAAAGCAGACACAGACAACACACAAAAGACAGGCAAAGCTGGACCTGAGGTGCAGCCACATTTTGCTGACCCTGTTCTAGAACACCTTATTAGTCTACAAAGACTTCCATCCTGATTAACAGAACAGGACAGAAAAACTGTATCATTTACTATTTCAAGAAGATGCTGGTAAAGAAAATTTTCCTGTGAGAATTTGTCATATAACCAGAAAAAAATGATAAAAAAAAAAAAGTGTTCCCGGGTTTCGGCACCAAAAAGTGACCAGATCATATTGGGGTAATGGAGATGACCTAAAACTTGATTAAAGCTGCACAATTTGGTGCATGTATTAAAAATCATTAAATTGTATGCTTAAAACAGGTGAGTATTATGATAAACAAATCATATACATATATATGGCTAATATGCAGTGTCCCCTTGGGAGTCCGACCAGGAGGCCTGGAGTTTGATTGCTCGCTATGACATGTGCTGACCACCAGGTGGCGGTGCAGAATGAAGGAAGGCTCCGGCCAGCAGCCGAAAGGCCTTAATCAGCCCTGATTGCCAGCCAGGCCTAGGGACCCTACCTGTGCACAAATTTCATGCATGGGGCCTCTTGTATCTCAATAAAGCTGTTTAAAAAATGTGAACAAAATTTAGTTTAAAACTTTAAACCTCAGTGCAGCATTTCTAGACCAAAGACAGGAAGGCAGGAACCATAAGCTGTAGTATAAAGAGGAAAGTGTAGACCTGAGAAATAGTTAAGAGAAACCATTCCTAAGATTTGATTGAGTTGTGCAACAAAAAAGAAAAGTAGCAAGGCACAAGCTTGAATCACTGGAGCCATTATCAAAACAAGAAATAGTTTATGAAGGTAGGATGGACAGTGTATACTGAATACCAGTTTGGACATACAAAATTTGAGCATCCAGATGCTGACAATACAGGTATAAAGCTCAGTAACTGTAAAGAAGATGGCTAGAAATTAGATCTGAAAGTCATCAATATAAGCTGGTGGTGGTTAAAACCATGGGTTTCATCAACATTAAGGGGGTGAGCAGAGGGAGTAGAGAGAAGGTAAGAGAGACCAAGCAGCAGCAGCTGGGCAGGGAAACTAAGAAGGTGCAATAAAAGCCAAAATGAAGGAACTCAAAAAAGGGGTAACGGGCCCTGGCAGGTTTGGCTCAGTACATAGAGCTTCGGCCTGTGGACCAAAGAGACCTGAGTTCAGTTCAGTCCAGGGCAGGCTCCTGCACGGCTGGCCCTGGTCTGGGTGTGTGCAGGAGGCAACCAATTGATGTGTTTCTCTCACATCGATACTTCTCTTTGTCTTTCCTTGCTCTAAAAATCAATGGAAAAATATCCTCAAGGGAGGGAGGGAAGGGTAATGGGCCAATGCTAAAAATGGTTCAAACAGAAAAACAATGGCAAACAGGCCTGGAATTTGGCAATTAGGTCACTGATGACTTAGCAAGAACATTTTTAGCAGACACAGGTGACCAAACAACTTAGAGAAAAAAGTGAAATGAGCAGAAGAGAAAAAATGTATGGTTTACTGTTTCAAGAAGCATGCTGGTATAGAAAATGTAGAAAGGATAGGTGAATAATATACTTAGAAGTAGGAAGTGGAATATTTGATAGAGTCCATACTTCATGGCCTTTACTTCCTGACACTGAAGGCAACATTGCTAGTAAGACAGAAGAGGACTAATTTTGAATTTGAAAGTGATAAATGTTTGGAATGTTAGTTGTGAAGAACTGAAAAGTAGATGGAAGGTAAACAATTCATTTATATGATAGCCAATTAGCATATTATATGATGTATATTGCTTAGTACCTGCTACCTGGTTATACTCTAGAACAGCAGTCGCCAAACGGTGGTCCACAGGGTCTGAAAGGTTGGCGACCGCTGCTCTAGAATAGTTTGGCTATTACAGACTATCTGCAGGAGAGTCAAGAAACTGATAGTACTGGGAGATGCCCTCTGCACCTGGAGGGCAGGCATGCAAGAAACTTTTCACTACATTCCTTGCACCTTTTAAGCTCTAATCCACTTGAATATAGTATCTATTTTAAATAATAATACTAATATTTTGTTAGTGTTACTACTTTAGTGCTTGTTTCAATAAATATCAAAACAAAAACTGCTATCAGTTCTCTTAAGAAAAACACTTTCAAAGAATGATGACATTCTACATTGCAACCCTTGGTTTTAGAGACTAAAGGATAATCGAGGGGGCAGAAAGACCCAAGGTAACTTTAAAAAAGAGTTTACACTGAAAAATTTTAAACCAATTACTTGTATCTAAACCGGGTGTTGGTAGCTCAAATCTTAGGGAAATCTCTTCTGTCCTTTGACTACAGACATAGTCCCAGTATCAAAGGATCCTCCCATATCCACCAATTCTTTGATGTCTAAGGCAGCTGTGTTTAAGTTGGTAAGACAAATCTTGGGTAAGAACAATAACAGAAGAAATTCTATGGCCCTCAGTTCTGGAGGTAACTTTTGTAGCAGCTCTTGCCTTACAGGCCTATCTTTTTTAGCCTGTAGGGTTTCCTACAAGTCTACTACTGCTGGTATCATCTAGTCTAAAGGAAGGAAACACTTACCCAGCATTTTGCTTCAATTTGCCCTAACCACTTTCTGATTTGAGGAAAGCAACATAGAAAAAGGTACTAACACTTCTGAATTAACTGGCCAGGGTAAACAGTGGACAATTTGAGTTATTCTCTCAATTATAATACTCAAGGCAAGAGAGATGATCAAGGGATAGAAAAGTTCTGGCTAAACTGAAACTGTAACAAAGATCCAACAGTTTCCTCTGCTACTCTTTCCTCCACAATAAATACATTCCAGTGCTAGAGATCCGAAGTAATTTCAGAAAAGTGGTTATAACAATACTAGAGGCCCGATGCACGAAATTCGTACAAGAGTAGGCCTTCCTTCCCCTGGCTGCCGGCACTGGCTTCCCTCTGGCACCCGAGACCCAGTCTTCCTTCCGGCTACCAGCAGGCACCCAGGACCCGGGCTTCCCTAGCAGTCCCAGCTTCGTCCGGAAGGTCATCTAGCCTAATTAGCATATTACGCTTCTATTAATAGAGATGATCTATCACTAAATTTCTGTGCATGCCCACATTTCAGCGCCCTAAATACCATCTCTAATCCTCATTTTCTGGATGGATTCTCCTCAGATGTTCATTCCAAGTTACCTTACCACAGCAGCACTTTTAGAAGGGTGAAGTTTTTGTTACTATCACTAATGGAGGAATGTATTTATCTAGTTAAAGTAATGCATCGAATGAACTGTGTTGAAGGTGCAGAGCCCTAATATAAACCCTTAATGTATGGATATGCATACATGTGAAAAGCTTGACATAAGGTAATCAGTAAAGGTAGTTTTCTTAAACGAGGGGGAATTAGAAAAGCACAAAAATTAGTAGGGGTATTCTATTCAAGTGAAACAATATGTGCAAATGCATAGAAGTGGTCATTTAAACATCAACAAATAGCAAGCAGATTAGCTTAGTTGGAAAGCATACTCCATAAAAATGAGGACAAAAAAAGGGAGCAGTATCTATATACAAGGCCAATTATTTTGATGTTGACATAATAGAAAAATAGGGACTTGGTTTGATCTAGAAAAAAAAATCACAAAATCTAGAATCACAAGTTTCTAGGTTCAGGTATGGCATAATGAAGAGAAAGAAAAAAAATGTGTGGCATAGATTACAGTAGTCCAAGAGAGGAAATGAAATTAGCTAGAAGCATGCTGCAATAATCCTTATTCTAGCCCAATATTTTTACTGTCATACTATTTATACTAATAAAAGGGTAATACGCTAATTAGACTGGGAGACCTTCTGGACAAAGCCATAGTGGCAGGGCCGAGGCAGAGGCGGTTAGGGGTGACCAGGCTGGCGGGGGGTGGGGAGCCAGTTGGGGGCTATCAGGCAGGCAGGCGAGCGGTTATGAGCCAGCGGTCCCGAATTGCGAGAGGGATGTCTGACTGCCTGTGGGCCTAACCAGCAATCGGACATCCCCTGAGGGGTCCCAGATTGGAAAGGGTGCAGGCCCGGCTGAGGGACACCTCCCCCAACCCTATGCACGAATTTTGTGCACCAGGCCACTAGTAATGTTATAATAAAAGTGTCAGAGCTGAATGACTTCTAGAAATCTTCTCTAAGCCCTTTACTCTCACAGAACATATGGTATATACTGTTTATAGTCTGCTCCTTACCCGTGGACATTACTCCAAGAACATGAGCTACATGACAGCAAAGAAAACACCTGGTTTGTTCACCCCAGCATCCAAAACAGTGCCTGGCACATAAATAAATATTTGCTTGTTGAAGGAAAGAAAAAGGAAACTGAGACCCAGAGAGACAAGTTACCCAAGGTCAGAAAGCTAAGTAGTATGTATCCCAAATCTATCAACAAATGGTCCACTATATTGTTACTCTAACAGAGTCATGTCCATATGATCTCCCTCCCTATTCCAGAAAATACTAATGATCCACCCCCAATGACTGGCCCCTATTATCCAAACTTCAATTCACACCAACCACAGTAACAAGCCTCTAAAATCAAGAATTTTAAGGGCAAATTTATCTATAAAAAGGATAAATTCTAGGTATATATATATATATATATATATGCATTAAATCTTATATCACACTTACCAAATCTGTTGGTTCATCTTCTTCCACTTCTGCTTCATCATCTTCATCTTCAATTATTGAATCTTCCACAGTTTCTTCATCTTCTGTAAGATCTTGAGCTGCTGCTACTGAGCCTAACAATAAAATATAAAACAAGCAGTTACCTACCTTGGAATACTAATGTTTTTTCATCTCAAGAATAGTGAACAAAATTTCCCCTTGGAGCAGTTCAATCACGCAGTGTACTTGAATGATGTCAGATTACAATGCATATAAGAATATTCAGCCCTAGCTGGTTTGGCTCAGTGGACAATGCATTGGACTATAGACTGAAGGGTCCTGGGTTTGATTCCAGTCAAGGGCACATGCCAGGGTTGCGGGCTTGATCCCCAGTAGGGGGCATGCAGGAGGCAGCCGATCAATGATTCTCTCTCATCATTGATGTTTCTGGCTCTCTCCCTTTCTTTTTCTCTGTAAAATCAATTTTAAAAAAAGAAGAATATTAATATTTTATCTTAGTAGTTTTAACAACTGCATGTTAATTTTAATGGGAAATGCTGCTTAATTTTAAAAAGCGCCTAACCGTTGAAAAAATGAACTCCTGAAATTAAAGATGCCTTAAAGTTCAAATAAAGGACTTCAAGCAATTTTGTCAAGCAAATGAAGGAAAATAAGTGTTTCAAAAGAAATCCCAAAATTTAATCTGTCATTATCCATACAAAATAAAACAAAAATACTCACAGCTAGAGAAAAACAGCAATCTAAATATCTAAGCAAGAAACTTTGTTATTAGAGTTGACTAAAGCTCAAACTCTTAGAATTTGATAACATGTAATTCCAAGTAACAAAGATCTACATGGCATTCATGTAAAAACTAGTTGGCATAAAACACACTCTTTAGTAAAAAACCTATATATATTATTAACTTCAGGGTTGAGAGCAGAGAAAGTATGCACTTATTTTTGCGGGTGGCTTCAAACATGTTTTAATATACTTTTTTATTTCCCCTACACTTAAAATGAAAATAAAAGTTAGGCATAACTATAATGCCAGGAAAGTATAAGTCACAGTTTTATATGCAAAAGTATTCTAAATAAGTCACATTAAATCTATTTCAGGCAAGACCCTCAAAAGAAATTTCAAAGTTCTAGCGACTCTCTCAACATTTCTCAGAAAGAATGATGATGTGGCAGTTCAGGACAGGGAAAAAAATGTGGGAAAGGAAGCATGTGCATATGCTGCAACACCCAGGAGAAACAGCACATGTTAAGGGCCATGTATTTTAAGTTTTTTCAGTTCTACCTAAACAAGTCAGTTTAAAAAAACTAGTTAAAAGACACCCCCCCCCCAAAAAAAGAAAGAAAAAACCCTAAAGAAATGAAAAACTAGTAAGAAAAATATCTAGGTCTGACATAATAATTCAAAGTTGTATTTAAACTCAGGATTGAGGCATAACAGCTTTTCACCCTACATTTCAGTGGGTACTAAAGCATTTTAATGTTACCAGTAACATTTCTATGCCTATAAAATCTAACACTTTTCAGTTTGAAAAATTTAAAGGAAACATCTTTTGAAAGAAAGACCATTATTCACAACAAGTGTTTAAAGATACCCCGTTCAGTTTAGACACTGATGTTTCCTTAAAAAAAAAAAAAAGTTTAAAACCTGAAAAAATATAGTAAGTAGAATTGGCCATTTTTGTTGAGAAAGAGAGAGAGAGAGAGAGAGAGAGAAAGAGAGAGAGGAAATCAGCAAGAATCCCTCAACCTGCAAATGAATCCCTTAACAGTTCTGGTTACTTTTCATACTTGGTTTTCCATCCACTGAACAGGAACCAGTCACTTCACTTTTTTTCACTTGGAAAGCGGCCTGTGGGCACCTGTCACTATCACGCTCTCCGCCTCAGCTCGCTTCAGCTGATGGGAGCAGAATCCCAGCGCTCATCCAGTCAGACTACACTGACAGGGTACAGAAACCGAAGTTCATGAGAGAATCGGGGCAAGAAGCCAAGTCTACACATTTTTAATGTTCTGCCGTGTAGGTTATTTCCACCCCAGCTTAACCGTGGGGAGGAATAGACAAACCTGAATAAAACATGTAAAACTCGAATGAGACTATGTTTTTCCAGGACAAAGTGCCAAGATACAAAAAAAAAATGGTTACAAAAAAAGAAAGGAGAGGAAAAAGGGGCCTAAGCAATAGACAGCCCACGGAGATCCTCCAGATCCCCGCCTGGGAGTGCGGGGCTGGGCAATGGGGCCAGACCGGGGAGCTGCTCTGAAACCGGGACCCCCGGCAGCACCCCGGGCCGGGGTCGGGCCGGGGCCCGGGAAGAGGACGAGGAACGTGCAAAGCGCTCCGAGAGCTCAGGTGTTGGAAAAGAGAGGCTTAAGCAAATGAATGAAGGGGACGCCGAGCGGGAAACGAAAGACACGTCAGCCCAGAGCCGGGGCAGGGGGTGGAGCGGCGCTGCGGCGGCCGGGAGGCCCAGCCGGGCCGCAGGACAGGCCCGACTGCGAGCTGGGGGTCCAGGACGAGGTGGAGGGAGGCCGACGAGCTGGAAGCCGGACCCAGGAGTTGCCGCTGCCGCCGCCAGCTTTAAACTTGCCGTCCCTGGCGGCTCCTTCCCGGCGAGCCCCACCGTTCCCTCCCCTCGCCTCACCTCCAGGGCCGCCTCGGAGCAAGAGAGTGGCGGGGAACACGAACAAGAGAAGCAGAAGCAGGCGAGGGAGGAGCCTCATGGCGCAGTCCGTCCGGTGCCCTGTCGCGGTCCACGAGAACTCTCGGGGGCTCCGGCGAAAATGGCGTTACTTTTCATCCGGGCTCCGGGCGGGGAGGGGCGGGGCACGTACCACGCACGGACCTTCGCCACGCCCCTTTCTTGGGCCGAGGAGCGCCGTCCACGTGGCCGCCTCCAGGCACTCCGTGGAGGGGTGCGCTGGGCGGAGTCCTGGAGGTCACGTGGCGAGTTGCTGGGCCTCGGAGATTCCCGGGAGAGCCCGCCTCCCCCTGTCGTTCTGGCTGGCCACCTGCAGGTCCCACCTATGGTGCTTGGCGTGATAGGGTGTGTTTTTTTAAATATATATTTTTAAGTATATTTTTACTAGAGGCCTGATGCACAAAAATGTGTGCACTCAGGGGGGTCCCTCAGCCCAGCCTATGCCCTCTTGCAGTCTGGGACCTCTCAGAAGATGTCTACCTGCCAGCTTAGGCCCACTCCCTGGGGGATCAGGCCCAAACTGGCAGTTAGACATCCCTCTGCCAGCCCGGGAGCCTTCAGGGGATGTCCACTTGCCAGCGGGGAGCAGATCTAAGCAGTCAGACATCCTTAGTGCTGCTGAGGAGGCTGGAGAGGCTCCCACCACCACTGCTGTACTGGAAGCCATCAGCCTGGCTTGTGGCTGAGCAGAGCTCCCCCTGTGGGAGCTCACTGACCACCAGGGGACAGCTCCTGCATTGAGCATCTGCCCCCTGGTGGTCAGTGTGTGTCATAGTGACCAGTCTTTCCCAGTCGTTCTGCTGTTAGGGTCAATTTGTATATTACCCTTTTATTGTATAGGGTAGAGGCCAGGTGCACGGGTTGGGGCCGGCTGGTTTTCCCTGAAGGGTGTCCCAGATCAGGGTGGGATCCCCACTGGGGTGCCTGGCCAGCCTGGGTGAGGGGCTGATGGCTGTTAGCAGGCTGGCCAAGCCCCCTGACGACAGAAGCTCCCAGCCTCTCCTTTTTTTCTTTTTTATTATTATTCTGGGATTTATTTACCTTCTATAATTGAAACTTTGTAGTCTTGAGTAGAGCTCAGAGGCGGCCAGGGCGGGCGAGAAGCTTGGCTTCCTCCATCACCAGGGGCAACCCAAGCCTACTGCTCACTCCATTTCCATGGCCACGGCCGGCTGAAGGCAGGTATCTGGGGTTTATTTATCTTCTATAATTGAAACTTTGTTGCCTTGAGTGGAGCTCAGAGTCAGCTGCAGCAGGCAGGAAGCTTGGCTTCCTCCATCACTGGGGCAACCAAGCCTCCTGCTTGCTCCAGCTCTGTGGCTGCCGGCCGCCATCTTGGTTGGGTTAATTTGCATATAGTCGCTCTGATTGGCTGGTGGGCATGGCTTAAGGCATAGGGAAGGGATGGTCAATTTGCATCTTTGTCTTGTATTAGTGCAGATTGATTTCAAAGAGAAAGGAAGAGGGAGAGAGAGAAACATCAATAATGAGAGAGAGGCCGAGACCGGTTTGGCTCAGTGGATAGAGCGTCGGCCTGCGGACTGAAAGGTCCCAGGTTCGATTCCGGTCAAGGGCATGTACCTGGGTTGCGGGCACATCCCCTGCCTCCTGCGTACCCTCTACTGGTGTCGAGCCCACAACCCAGGCCTGTGCCTTTGAAGGGAATCAACCTGGGACCCTTCAGTGCACAGGCACCCCGCTCTACCTATTGAGCAAACCGGCTAGGGCGCCATAGGTCTTTACACTGTAAACCAGTGCTTCTCAACCTTCCTAATGCTGTGACCCTTTAATACAGTTCCTCATGTTGTGGTGGCCCCCAACCATAAAATTATTTTCTTTGCTACTTTATAACTGTAATTTTGCTACGGTTATGAATCATAATGTAAATATCTGATATGCAGGATGTATTTTCATTGTTACAAATTGAACATAATTAAAGCATAGTGATTAATCACAAAAACAATATGTAATTATATATGTGTTTTCTGATGGTCTTAGGCTACCCCTGTGAAAGGGTCATTCGATCCCCAAAAGGGTCGCGACCCACAGGTTGAGAACCACTGCTGTAAACGATCTACTTATATAAAACCATGGGTGGTGTTCATCATGACCAGAACAGCGACCAAGCAGAAGGAAGTCAGTCCTGCAGGGGTTGTCTTGGCAACGGCTTTGCCCTCCCCCAAGCTGTTTCCTGTAAGGGTAGGGTTTGAGGCAGGAACCAGCCCTGGGAGCATGGAGGCATATCTTTATAAAGTCTGCTGCGCCAGCACGGCCAGGGGTTAACCTGAGTGGGGGCAGTTGAAAGGTTTAAAAAGGACAGACAAGAGAATGAAAGCCGGGTCTCGGTGGGATGCTGCTTCTCTGACAGACAGCAACCACGCCCACAGCCATGCCTTTATTTTATAGCAGATGCTTTGAGCCAAAATAAGGGCGTGACCAAGATGTTTACAACATTCTCCTGGATTTCAATCCTACTCAACTACATGCACCTGAACTCTATCAAGCTTACATCACTCAGGCACATGGAGCCACGTGTTCGGACCATAGGTTCAAGCTTACAACTACAGCTGTTGGCTATAATTGTGCTGGGAGGGCCCTGCCCTCCAAGCTGGGACTTGCACACGGCAATGAGAGGACTGTGCCCTCTCATCAGTCCAAGGCTTAAACCTGTCCAAAACACTGTAATGGCTCCCCACAATAAAGTTTTAATTCTGTTTCTTTGTTACTAATGTTGTGGCTCCACCCCATAACAAAGAAACAATTTCTGGAGGATGAGGCCCATGAATCAGGATTTCTAAAAAAGATTCCCAGATGGTTCTAACGTGCAGCCAAGGTTGAGAACCACTGCGCTAGATGAAAGTCACGGGGTGTGAGGGCGCCCATTCCTCTCCACCCCGTCCGGTTGTCTGGGGCACACGGCGCGCCCTGGGGACTGTGAACGCCTCCCTGGGAACATTTAACTGCAAACAGCTTCTAGTTGGGATCTGTTCTAATTGCTAATTAGATCTGATTATAATTATCTCTCGCCGCCATCCCTTACCTGGCACAGGATGGGACGTGGCCTCCCGACAATTAGCAGCGTCTTGCCTGGCACACCCGCCGGTGAGGGACACCACCTCTGGGCCACGGCAGAGCCCGGCTTGTTGAAGGCAGGCTGCTGTTTACTGTTGTGATCCAATTAGATGTAACTAATGAGGGGAACTCGAATTTCCCCCCCAAACAGTCTCCTTTTGGTCTCAACTGATGCATCATCTGTGGGGAAGGAGCCGAACTCCCCTTGGGGGACCCTCCTTTCCCACCTGGAGGTGTTGAGGGGTTTTGGTCGCCAATTCTGCCCCCACTGCCGGCCCAGCCCAATTCCAGCCCCGAGGGAGGCAGTGAGCCTGACAAATGGACTCTGAGCAAGTCCCCTGGTCCCTCCGAGCCTTGGGTCCTCGTCTGCCACCTAGGACAACATGTGCCTCTGGGCCCACACTTGCCCCAGGTACCCACAGGCCCGGAGGGGGGGTGGGCGGTTGTCATCTGTACAGCAGGGACCAGGGTCCTTTGCTCTCAAGTCTGGGGCCTGGGCTGAGAGAGAACCATCGATCAGTTGCCTCTTTCACACTCCCTACTGGGGATGTGCCCGCAACCAAGGTACATGCCCTTGACTGGAATTGAACCTGGGACCCTTGAGTCCGCATGCTGATACTCTATCCACTGAGCCAAACCGGTTAGAGCAATTAATTCCCTTTTAATGTGCACAAATTTTGTGCACCAGGCTACTAGGATATAATAAAAGCCTAGGTGGTGTCATGCCTTCGTGTGACGCTCTCATGTGACGTCATCACAAGATGGCCACCACAAGATGGCTACCATAAGATGGCTGGCAGGGGAGGACAGTTGCGGGAGAACAGGTCAGCAGGGGAGGGCAGTGTGGGATGATTGGGCCAGCAGGGAAGGGCACTTGGGAGTGACCAGGCCTGCAGGGGAGGGCAGTTGGAGGAGATCAGGCCAGCAGGGGAGTAGTTAGGGGGCAATCAGGCTGGCAGGCAGAAGCGGTTAGGGGCAATCAGGCAGGCAGGCAGGCAAGTGGTTAAGAGCCAGCAGTCCTGGATTGTGAGAAAGATGTCCAACTGCCAATTTAAGCCAGAACCGACAGTAGTACATTCCCCGTAGGCTTCCAGATTGGAGAGGGTGCAGGCTGGATTGAGGGACACCTGCCCCTGTGCACAAATTTTGTGCACCGGGCCTCTAGTAGGGATATAAGGAACATGAGCTGTCTGAATGTAGTGTGAAAAGCAAAAATAGGTTTTGGAATAGTTTAAATACAGTTTCTCCCCCCCACCCTCACCCCCTTAAAAAAACATAAGAAATATACAGTGGTACATCTTTTTTCCCTCTCTGCCCATATCCTCACCCACAGTGACAGTTCTTACATTGTTAGGTGGCATTCCAGAGTTATAAATCACCTAGGACAATGCCTGGCATAGAGAAAGCATTTGGCAAATGTCTGATGGGAGCAGCAACGGTTGCACACTACTCTTCCGTTTCCTTCTCATCTGGTTTGGACTTTGGGTTGCTGCCAATGAGTTGGTATTTCATGCAATTAAACAATCTGAATACCAGGTACTGTTGGACTAGACCAGTGTGACATGTTATATAGATGATGAAACAAATTAGCTAACCCTTATTGTGTGCTTGCTATTGACAATTACTGCCCCTTAGAACTGTGCTTTCATGTATCATCTAATTTAATCTCTAAAATCCCTGTGAGGAGATATTGTTTACTGAGCTGAGCAGAAAAACCAAGACACAGAAGATTAGTAACTTAACCAAGGCTTAAAGGCTAGTCCATGGCAGACAGCATGTCTGATTCCCGCCTCCATGCATGCCCCACTGGCCTGGAAGATCTTCTCTTCTACTCCTGCATTGGCTGTGCTCAAGGGTCAAGGCCTATGTTTGTCCGCTAACGTCACAACCTGACAGGTCTGGGCTAAGCCAACTCTGAGCCACTCCCCTCTGCAGGCCACCACTGATGCTGCTGCCACCAAGGCACCCAGCAGAAGTGGAAGGACTTGCTAAGGAGGCACCCTTCCACCTTGCTGCTGCCTTCGCTACTGTGCACAGCTACCAAAACTG